AAAAATTTGGGGGGAAGTGGGGGTTTAAAAAGGTAGAAATGTAGGGAAGGGGGGGTAAAAAATGGTAGACAATGTAGGGAAAGGGGGGGAATTTAAAGGGTTTTAAAAAGTGGGAAAGGGGGAAAGGGGGAATAATGGTAGGCAAAAGTAGGGAAAGGGGGAGGGGGTAATAAGGGGAGACAATGTAGGGAAGGGAGGGAATAATGGTAAAACAATGTAGGGAAGTGGGGGGGGAATAAAGGGAGACATGAGGGGGGAAATGGGGGTAAAAATGGTAGAAATTTTAGGGAAGTGGGGGGAATAATTTGGGAGACAAAAGTAGGGAAGTGGGTAATAAGGTAGCAATGTAGGGAAGTGAGGGAATAATGGAGGGCAATGTAGGGGGAAATGAGGGGGAACCGGTTTGGGACGGGGAATTAATAATGGAAGGAAAAAATGTAGGGAAGGTTTTTGGGGAAAAGGGGGAAGGGAAAAAGGAGGGAAAATGAGGGGAAAAGGGAAAAAGGGGAAAAGGGGAATTTATTTTTTAATAAAGGTAAGGGCAATGTAGGGAAAATGGGGTAATAAGGAAAACAATGGAAGGGGAAGTGAGCATTAATGGGGAAAGTGGGAAGGGGGGGGGGTTTAAAAATGGTAAAACAATGTAGGGAAAAGTGAGGTAATAATGGTTTTGGGCAAAGTTTGGGGGAAATGGGGTAATAAGGGGGAGACCCAAAGTAAGGAAGGGGGGAAAATGGTAGACAAGTAGGGAAAATGGGGGGTGGAAAAAGGTAGACAAATTTGGGGGAAATGAGGTAATAAAAGTTTGGAAAAATGTAGGGAAGGGGGGAAAAAATGGTGGGCCAAAAAGTAAAAGGGGGGTGGGGTAAAAAATGGTAGACAATGTGGGGAAATTGGGGGGGGTTTTAAAGGTTTGGGCCAAAGTTTGGGAAAGGGGGGGGGTAATAAAGGGAGACAAAGTAGGGAAGTGACCCCGGGGGGAAAGGGGAGAAAGGGGGGGGAAAGGGGGGGTAATAATGGGGAAGGGCAAGGGAGGGAAGTGAGGGGAATAAAAGGTAGACAAGAGGGGGAAAAGGGAATAATGTTAGACAATGTAGGGAAGTGGGGTAATATGGTAGACCCAAAGTAAGGACGTGGGGTAATAAATGGTAGGGGGAAGTAGGGAAATGGGGTTTATTTAAAGGTAGACAAAAGTAGGGAAGTGGGGTAATTTAAAAGGGAGACAATGTGGGGAAATGAGGGGAATAATGGTAGCCCAAGTGGGGGGAAATGAGGGGGAAAATGGGAGAAAAAAAGTAGGGGAAATGGGGGGAAAATGGTAGACAATTAGGGAAAGTAAATTTTAGTTTTTGGGAAAAATGGGGGGTTTAAAAATGGTAGACAAGGAAGGGAAGGGGGGTTGGGGTAATAATGGTAGCCTTGTAGGGGAAAATGAATTAATAATGGAAGAAAATGTAGGGGGAAATGGGGTAATAATGGAAGACAAAAGTAGGGAAAAATGAGGTTTAAAAATGGGGAGGGCAATTTTAGGGGAAATTTAGGTTTAAAATGGTAAACAATGTAGGGGGAAAATGGGTAATAATGGTAGACCAAATTTGGTAGTTTAGCTATTAATGGGTTTGACAATGGGGGGGAAAGTGGGGGGTAATAATGGTGGGCAATGTAGGGAAGTGAAAAAATAATGGTTTGACAATGTAGGGAAGTGGGGTAATAATGGTAGGGGCAAAGTAAGGAAAAGGGGGGGGTTTAAAAAGGGAGGGCAATGGGGGAAGTGGGGGTAATGGTAAAAAAAGGGAGGGAAAATAGGGGAAGTTTAGGGGAAATAATGGGAGAAAAATGAGGGAAAGGGGGGGTAATAATGGTAGACAATGAAAGGGGGGGGTTTAAAAATGGGGAAAAAAGTAGGGGGAAATGGGGGGGAATAAAGGTAGGGCAATGTGGGAAGTGGGGGAATTTAAAAGGGAGGGCAATTTTAGGGAAAAGGGGGGTTTAAAAAGGGGAGACAATGGGGGGAAGGGGGGGGGGGTAATAATGGTAGACAATGTAGGGAAGTGAGGGGGAATAATGTTAGGGCAAGTAGGGGAAAATGGGTAATAAAGGTTTGACACCGGGAAAGGAAGTGGGGGGGAATAAAAGGGGAGACAATGTAGGGAAAGGGGGGGAATAAAGGTAAAAAAATGTAGGGAAAAATGAGGTAATAAGGGGGTAGGGCAATGTAGGGGAAATTTGGGGGGGAAAAGGGGGGGAAAAGGAGAGAAAAAGGGGTAAAAGGGGTTTGACAAAGGAGGGAAAAAAGGGTAATAATGGAGCAATGTAGGGAAAACGGGGGGGGGGGAATAATGGCATTTAAACAGGGGGGAAGGAGGTTTAATAATGGCATTGAAACAGTAGGGAAGTGAGGTAATAATGGCATGGGGCAAAAAGTAGGAAAAGGGGGGGTAATAAGGGGATTTAAAAAAAGTAGGGAAGTGGTTTTGTAATAATGGGATTGACAACAGGGAGGGAAGGGGATGTAAAAAATGGCATTGACAACAGGAGGGAAAGGGGGGGGGGGGGTAATAATGGCCCTTTTTCCCAAAAGTAGGGGGAAAATGAGGTAATAACAGCATTAAAAAACAGTAGGGAAGGGGGGGGTAATAAGAATTGAAAACAGTAAAGGGGGGGTGGGTGGGTAATAATGGCATTGAAAAAAGGGAGGGAAAATGGGGGGGAATAAACGGGTTCAACAGTTTGGGAAGTGGGGTAAAAATTGCATTGGGCAACAGGGGAAAATGGGGGGGTGGGGAATAATGGCATTGCAACAGTGGGGAAATGATTTTAATTTAAAGGCATTTACAAAAAGTAGGGAAGTTGGGGGGGGGAAAATGGCCCGGGGCAAAAAAGGGGGGGGGAAATGAGGGGGGGAAAATGACATTGGGAAAAAAGTAAGGAAGTCGGGAAAAGGGAATAATGGAATTTAAAACAGTAGGAAGTGGGGGGTTGGGGGAATAACGGCCCTTGAAACAGTAGGGAAAATGAGGGGAATAATTTACATTAAAAAACAGTAAGGAAGTTTGGGGGAAAAAAAGGGATTTACAAAAAGTAGGGAAGGGGGGGGGGGGGTTTAAAAAAGGCATTTTAAACAGTAGGGGGAAATGGGGTTTTAAAAATGGCATTGGGGAAACAGTAGGGGGAAAGGGGGGGTAAAAAATGGTAGACAAAATAAGGAAGTGGGGGGGTGGTAATAATGGTGAAAAATGGGGGGGGAAGTGGGGTTTTAATGGTTTAAAAAGTAGGGGGGAAAGGGGGGGAATAAAAGGGAGGGCAAGGGAGGGAAATGAGGGGGAAAATGTTAGGGCAATGTAGGGAATGGGGGGGAAAAATGTAGACAAAAGTAAGGAAGTGGGGAAAAAATGGTAAAAACAATGTAGGGGGGGGAAATTGGGGGGTAATTTTTGGGAGACAATTTTAGGGAAGTGGGGTAAAAAAAAGGGAGGGCAATGGGGTAGGAAGTGAGGTAAATAAGGGGAGACAATGTGGGAAAGGGGGGGGGTAATAATGGAGCCCAAAGTAGGGAAGTGAGGTAATAATGTTAGAAATGTAGGGGAAATGGGGTAATTAAATGGTAGACAATGGAAGGAAGTGGGGTTAATAAGGGGAGACAAAGTTGGGGGAATGGGGTAATAAAGGTGACAATGTAGGGGAAAGGGGGAAGGTAATAATGGTAGACAATGTAGGGAAGGGGGTAAAAAAGGTAACAAGTTTGGGAAGTGAGGGGAATAATGGTAGGGCAACGTTTGAGAAATGAGGTAATTAAAGGTAGCAATGTAGGGAAGTAGGGAATAATTTGGGAAAAAAATTAGGGAAGCGGGGGGTAATAATGGCATTTAAACCCGTGGGAAGGGGAAAGGGGGAATAATGGAAATTTAAAACAGTAGGGAAGTGGGGGGGGTGGTAATAATGGGATTGGGAAAAAGTAGGGGGAAAGGGGGTTTAAAAATGGATTGACAACAGTAGGGGAAGTGGGGTAAAAATGGCATTGACAAAAAAGTAGGGGGGGGTGATGTAATAAAAGGCATTGACAAAAAAGTAGGAAATGGGGGAATGGGGATTGACAACAGTAGGGAAGTGAGGGGGAATAAAAAGCATTAAAAAACAGTTTGGGAAAAATGGGGGGGGGTAAAATGACATTGGAAAAAATAAGGAAGTGGGTAATAATGGCATTGACAACAGTGGGAAAATGGGGGGAATAACGGCATTGAAAACAGGAGGGAAGTTGGGGGGGAAAAATTTCATTTGACAACAGTAGGGGAAATGGGGGTAAAAAGGCATTTTACAACCCCCGTAGGAAAGTTATGTAAAAATGGCCTTTAAAAAAAGTTTGGGAAGTGGGGGAATAATGGCATTTCAACAGTAGGGAAAGTTGGAGGGAATATGACATTGACAAAGTAGGGAAAATTTGGGGGGAATAATGGCATTTACAAAAAGTAGGGGAAATGGGGGGGTAATAAAAGGCATGACAACAGTGGGAAAATGAGGGGGAATAATGACATTAAAAAACAGTAAAGGGAAATCGGGGGGAATAATGGACTTGGGCCCAAAAGTAGGGAAAATGGGGGGGGGTAAAACCCGGCCCTTGAAAACCCGTAGGGAAGTGGGGGGGGGTTAAAATGGCATTGACAACAGTAGGGGAAGTGGGGGGAATAATGGTAGACAATTAAAGGGGAAATGGGGGAATAATGGGAGAAAGTAGGGAAGTGGGGGGTAATAAGGTAGAAAAATGTAGGGAAATTTAGGTAAATAATGGTAGACAATGTAGGGAAGTGGGGTAATAATGGCATTGACAACAGTAGGGAAGTGGGGTAATAATGGCATTAACAACAGTAGGGAAGTGGGGTAATAATGGCATTGACAACAGTAGGGAAGTGGGGTAATAACGGCATTAACAACAGTAGGGAAGTGGACTGATATGACGGACATGGACACACACACAATTTGCTTATTGATGAGCATTCCTACCGGCTGGGGCTCATCAGAGCCAGGGCCAGATCGAGCACAGCACCTGGCTTGGGTGTCCATGTTGCTATGCCTGGAGCGCTCTTCTTGATCAGGGCATTGAGCTCCTCCGCGTTGTTTTTCGTGTTTGTGTCCTTAATGTACCTGTCAGTTAATGTATGTCAGTTGTCAATGTCAAGTTGTGATGCGTCTTATGTTGAGTGACTGCAATTGAAGTGATAAGAGGGGTCAAAACCTAACCTGAACCTTTTGTACACAAAATAGTAAAGGTTTTGTAATACAGATAGGATAGGCAGATTTTATTACTGTGTTGTTAAGTTTGTTCTCTTTTGAGGATATATTACAGTAATGTGAGAATAAAAACATGGAAATAACGGCACAGAGAGAAATAGAAAATGAAACTTATTGTGCTCATTATTCAAATACGGCAATGTTCTCCCATCTCAATGGGGATACCTGTCCGAGGGATGTGCTTCGACAAAGTAACCCGCAAACGGGCAGTAGATCTTGGGCTGCAAGGACTTTATCAGCTGGGCCTTGTAGTTCATGAGCTTCTTCCTTTCATTCTTGATGAAATCGGCTTTCCAGCTCTCTGCAGGGAGAACGCGACACTAGTCAATGAGTGAATCTCAGTTGTATTTCATTGATTCCTCGCTTCCTCTCCCGTTTTCTCCTCCTCAAAATTCATTGGAGGAGAACATCTGAGGGAAGGAACCTCAGATCCTTGGGCGGCAGGTAGCTTAGTGGTTAAGAGCGTAGTGCCAGTAACCGAAAGGTCGCTGGTTCTAATCCCCGAGCCGACTAGGTGAAAAAATCTGTCGATGTGCCCTTGAGCAAGGCACTTAACCCTAATTGCTCCTGTAAGTCGCTCTGGATAAGAGCGTCTGCTAAATGACCTATTTATTTTATTTTATTTAAGAGCGTCTGCTAAATGACAAAAAACAAACAAACAAAAAAAAAAATTCTGCTCCAATGTGCTTTGAGGAGGAGATAAGGAGATGAGGAGAGAGGAAATACAATTGAGATTCACTCCATGTGCTGGCAATAAGAAGGAAAACCCAATGGAGCAATTCATTTCTCTGTTATTTTACTGGCTGTACACTTGGACGCTGTATACCTGCCCAACTCACCTGTGTATTTTCCTCCACTGAAGGTCATGGGGAAGCCAGACGCCCCCCCAGCAAAGTCACTCATCATCAGGTCCACATTGTGGGGTAGCCGGCCGTAGTTTGGCCTGGTGCAGTCCACCGTATTGAGGATCATATGACCTGGGTGGGAGAACCAGGATCAGATGCACCGGTCAAATGGCGTCAATGAGATAAGGTTGAGATAAGATTCTAACTTGCAATTTATTTTGCTTTTTATTACTGAATTGACAATGACCTGAATCAAACAGGAAGAACATTTTCAATAAAATAATTTGGCTCAATTATCCTCATGGAACCTATATTTTTATCAATTTATAATCTGTAGGTTGATAAAGTGTGACAAAAGTCAGAATGTGTGACCTGCTTGTGTTTGTATACTGAGTGTACAAAACATTAGGAACATCTGCTCTTTCCATTACATAGACTGACCAGGTGGAAGCTATGATCCCTTATTGATGTCACTTGTTAAAGCCACTTCAATCAGAGTAGATGAAGGGGAGGAGACGAAAAAGGATTTTTAAGCCTTGAGACAATTGAGACATGGATTGTGTATGTGTGCCATTCAGATGGTGAATGGGCAAGACAAAATATTTAAGTGCCTTTGAACGGGGTATGGTAGTAGGTGCCAGGCACACCGGTTTGAGTGCAACGCTGCTGGGTTTTTCATGTACTCAACAGTTTCCTGTGTGTATAAAGAATGGTTCACCACCCAAAAGTCATCAATCCAACTTGACACAACTGTGGGAAGCATTGGAGTCAACATGGGCCAGCATCCCTGTGTAACGTTTGACACCTTGTAGAGTCCATGCCCCGACGAACTAAGACTGTTCTGAGGGCAAAAAAGGGGTGCAACTGAATATTAGCAAGGTGTTCCTAATGTTTCGTGCACTCAGTGTATATACCACTTAGCAGACCCTTTTATCAAAAGGACTTCCAGTGACTGCAGGAATTGAACCCACAACTCTTTGCGAAGCTAGCGCCATATGCTCTTACAAATGATGAGTACCTTTATATTCAACAATGATACAGGTATCCATTTCGGGGTGCACTTCATCCTTCAGAATCATGAATCTGAGGTGCTCATCAATCTGACGGAGATAACAACAGGAGAAGGCATTAAAGGAGAGCCTTTTGACAGGGGTTCCTGCATGCTATCGTATAAACTGTTCATTCAGAGTGAGCTGTTTAGGCTTACGTTTTGCCAAACGCCAAAGGGAACCACGTTGATATTTGTCAGCTGCAACTGTCTTTTCTCCAGCATCCTGTAACATGGTTTAAACGAGGACAACGTAAACCCACAAAGGTGACAGCCTCATTTGTTTTATGGTTGTAAAACCATGTTAATACAGTGGGCCAAAAAAGTATTTAACAGCCACCAATTGTGCAAGTTCTCCCACTTAAAAAGATGAGAGAGGCCTGTAATTTTCATCATAGGTACACGTCAACTATGACAGACAAATTGAGGAAAAAAATCCAGAAAATCACATTGTAGGATTTTTAATGAATTTATTTGCAAATTATGGTGGAAAATAAGTATTTGGTCACCTACAAACAAGCAAGATTTCTGGCTCTCACAGACCTGTAACTTCTTCTTTAAGAGGCTCCCCTGTCCTTCACTCGTTACCTATATTAATGGCACCTGTTTGAACTTGTTATCAGTATAAAAGACACCTGTCCACAACCTCAAACAGTCACACTCCAAACTCCACTATGGCCAAGACCAAAGAGCTGTCAAAGGACACCAGAAACAAAATTGTAGACCTGCACCAGGCTGGGAAGACTGAATCTGCAATAGGTAAGCAGCTTGGTTTGAAGAAATCAACTGTGGGAGCAATTATTAGGAAATGGAAGACATACAAGACCACTGATAATCTCCCTTGATCTGGGGCTCCATGCAAGATCTCACCCCTTGGGGTCAAAATGATCACAAGAACGGTGAGCAAAAATCCCAGAACCACACGGGGGGACCTAGTGAATGACCTGCAGAGAGCTGGGACCAAAGTAACAAAGCCTACCAATAGTAACACACTACGCCGCCAGGGACTCAAATCCTGCAGTGCCAGACGTGTCCCCCTGCTTAAGCCAGTACATGTCCAGGCCCGTCTGAAGTTTGCTAGAGTGCATTTGGATGATCCAGAAGAGGATTGGGAGAAAATCATATGGTCAGATGAAACCAAAATAGAACTTTTTGGTAAAAACTCAACTCGTCGTGTTTGGAGGACAAAGAATGCTGAGTTGCATCCAAAGAACACCATACCTACTGTGAAGCATGGGGGTGGAAACATCATGCTTTGGGGCTGTTTTTCTGCAAAGGGACCAGGACGACTGATATGTGTAAAGGAAAGAATGAATGGGGCCATGTATCGTGAGATTTTGAGTGAAAACCTCCTTCCATCAGCAAGGGAATTGAAGATGAAACGTGGCTGGGTCTTTCAGCATGACAATGATCCCAAACACACCGCCCGGGCAACGAAGGAGTGGCTTTGTAAGAAGCATTTCAAGGTCCTGGAGTGGCCTAGTCAGTCTCCAGATCTCAACCCCATAGAAAATCTTTGGAGGGAGTTGAAAGTCCATGTTGCCCAGCGACAGCCCCAAAACATCACTGCTCTAGAGGAGATCTGCATGGAGGAATGGGCCAAAATACCAGCAACAGTGTGTGAAAACCTTGTGAAGACTTACAGAAAACGTTTGACCTGTGTCATTGCCAACAAAGGGTATATAACAAAGTATTGAGAAACTTTTGTTATTGACCAAATACTTATTTTCCACCATAATTTGCAAATAAATTCATAAAAAATCCTACAATGTGATTTTCTGGATTTTTTTTCCTCATTTTGTCTGTCATAGTTGACGTGTACCTATGATGAAAATTACAGGCCTTTCTCATCTTTTTAAGTGGGAGAACTTGCACAATTGGTGGCTGACTAAATACTTTTTTCCCCCACTGTATGTAACACATATATAGATAACCCTTACCAGAACACTGGCCTTGATGTGTCGCCAACATAAATGGGAACATCGGGCCTCGTTGCAGAAAGGGATTTTAAGGTTGGGTAGCTGAAAATACATTTTTCAGCAATTATCTTAAAACTTCCTGCCTTCTGTGTGCTCATCCTCATGAGGAAAATTGGAATTGAAATATCTGTTTACTTCCGGAATTGAAGCTAGGGTCCCATTTTACACGAAGTACAACTTATAAAGGCTTAATATAGCTTACATAAATGCTTCACATATTATCTGTAAACCTATCTCATACTCTATAAATGGTGTATAAAAATACATAGTGTATAAACCATTTATAGAGTATGACGTACGCTTATAGATTATTTTGTATAGCATTTATGTAGTGCTTATGAAGGTTTATGCATGCTATATAAAGCCTTTATACTTAGTTTAAAGTGGGACCAAAATTATAAATACATTGAAATCTGTGGTTGCTGGTTGGTGGAGATATCGGAGGACGGGCTCATTGTAATGGCTGGAATAGTATGTGTTTGATGTGTTTGAAACCGTTCCATCCATTCCCTTCCAGTGACGTTGAGCCCATCCTCCTATATCAACTCATTTCATTCTACCATACTCCATACTGGTAACATCTCTACATACCTGAGGTGGTCGGAGTGCATGTGGCTGATGTAGATGAGGTCCGCCCTGCACAGCCTCTCCATGGAGTCAGCAGGGGGCTCGTGGAGCAGCCACCAGCCCCTGGCGAAGGCTGGACCCGTCAGCCAGGGGTCGAATATCATCTTCTTCCCCCCTAGCTGGAGCTCCATGCATGCATGGGTGAGGTAGGTCACCTGGAGGAACATGAAGGTCGAGTTTGGAGCAGAGAATCTTGTCGCCTGACGTGCTATCACTTTACATTTGATCACGGCGCGGTTGACCATCAATCACATCGATATAAATTGCGTGTCGGCCATGTGGGGAAAGACTCAGAGGTGTGGGAGTTGGGACTGTTGTTTCTGTGTCTCTGGAATTTAAATGAACACATAGGAGAGATGGTCAAAAGCCATCTGTGACCACTGTTGTTGGGCACGGCTGTGATAGGAGGTCTATCCCAATTCGTCATGTAGAATCTTGGATGGCGGCTGGTGATAGCTTTCAACCTTTGCCCATCTCCCCTATGTGTCCCAAGCTTAAGCTCGGCACTGCAGCCTTTCAGGTGAGAACACAGCCTCTGATCTCACATTATAAAGGTGGTGATAGTGATGGGATCAAAGATGAGTCAAAGAATTTGTAGACACACAACTCTTGGTTATCATTTTAAGACTCATATTTTATTCACTCCGGGTAATTACTAACCAGCCTTGGATCATAGCTAGTGTTTGTGTTCCAGATTAGTTCCAACTCTGTTTTACCACCAGCCAGGTGAAGACATATTTTTCTGACCTTAACAAAACGTCCTTATACAACCAGTATACATCCAGACCATGACGTCATGTAAGATGTCATAATGTAATTGCAACCAGTTTTGCCCACTGGGGAAGGCCTCAGATCTGTCCATCCGTGGGTGTGTGGTGTGTGTGATGTGCTGTACTCACAGTCACCTCTCTCTCCTGCAGTTCCTGTGGATCCTGGGGGTCTGCCAACCAGGGGTCCCAGACGATCACCTCCACGAGCTGAAGACCACCCTCGTCCGTCATCACGACGTCTGCGTTAGAAAATCAAGCCAAAGTCAAATCTCTTCCGATTAATAATTGAATGAATGAATTTGATTTTATTATCTTAATGTACATATAGACATATTAAACATCAGACGTATTATTTACACTGTGGTCCTCATTTCATTGTTAGATGGTCAAAGGAATGGACAGCTGGGCACTCAACCAACAGGACGCGGAACAGCTTCTACCCCCAAGTCATACGACTGCTGAATAGTTACTTAAATAGTTAGCCAATAGCTACCTGGACTATCTGCACTGACCCTGTTGGCACTAACTATTTTGACTCATCACATACGCTGCTGTTACTGTTTATTATCTATCCTGTTGCCTAGTCACTTTATCCCTACCTATATGTACATATCTACCTCAATTACCTCGTACTCCTGCACATGGACTCAGTACTGGTACCGTGTGTATATAGCCAAGGTATCGGTACTGGTACCGTGTGTATATAGCCAAGGTATCGGTACTGGTACCGTGTGTATATAGCCAAGGTATCGGTACCTGTACGACGTGTATATAGCCAAGGTATCGGTACTGGTACTACGTGTATATAGCCACGGTATCAGTACTGGTACCGTGTGTATATAACCAAGGTATCGGTACTGGTACCGTGTGTATATAGCCAAGGTATCGGTACTGGTACCGCGTGTATATAGCCAAGGTATCGGTACTGGTACCACGTGTATATAGCCAAGGTATCGGTACTGGTACCACGTGTATATAGCCATGGTATCGGTACTGGTACGGCGTTTATATAGCCATGGTATCGGTAATGGTACGGCGTGTATATAGCCAAGGTATCGGTACTGGTACCGTGTGTATATAGCCAAGGTATCGGTACTGGTACGGCGTGTATATAGCCAAGATATCGGTACTGGTACCATGTGGTCCTCTGTAGCTCAGCTGGTAGAGCACGGCGCTTGTAACGCCAAGGTAGTGGGTTCGATCCCCGGGACCACCCATACACAAAAATGTATGCACGCATGACTGTAAGTCGCTTTGGATAAAAGCGTCTGCTAAATGGCATATTATTATTATTATTATTTATTATTATGTGTATATAGCCAAGGTATCGGTACTGGTACGGCGTGTATATAGCCATGGTATCGGTACTGGTACCGTGTGTATATAGCCCTGGTATGGTACTGGTACAAGTGATATAGCCCAAAGGGGGATGGGACGGTACGGGTTTTTTTATTTTTAAACCTGGTTTGGTACGGTACGGCGGTATATAGCATGGTTGGTCTGGTTTCCGGTGTATATTTGCCAAGGTATTGGTACTGGTTACAGCGTGTTATAGCCATTGGGATGGTCTGGACGGTTGGGTAATTTTCATGGTTTGGACTGGACGGGGTTTTTAAAGCCAAGTTCCAGTATGGTCGGCGTGTTTAGCCCCGGTATCGGTATGGTACGGGGTGTATAACCTGGTTGGGTATGGTACCGGTGTTTAGCCAAGGTACGGGGATGGACGGGTTTTTTTATAGCCCAAAGGGACGGTATGGTACCCATGTGGTCTCGACTCAGTGGAGGACGGCGCTTGTAACCCAAGTAGTGGGTTCGTCCCGGGACCACCCAAACACAAAAAAGTATCACGCAGACTGTAAGTGCTTTGGGTAAAAGCTGCTAAATGGGATATTTTTATTTTATTATTTATTTTTTGGTATAGCCCCGGTATCGGTACTGGACGGGTGTTTATTTGCCATGGACGGGATGGTACCGGGTATAAGCCCTGGACGGGGACGGGGACACGTTTTATATGCCAAAGGGATCGGTACTGGTACGGCGTTTTTATAGCCATGGTATGGTACTGTGCGGGTATAAGCAAGGTATCGGTACTGGGACCGTGGTATAGAGCAAGGGGTTTGGTAGGTACACGTGATATAGCCATGGCGGTATGGACGGCGTGTATATAGCCCTGGGTATCGGGACTGGACGGCGTGTATATAGCCAAGTTTTCGGTATGGTTCGGGGTTGTTTTTAAACCATGGTATCAGTATGGTACGGCGGTAATACCATGGTATCGGTTGGTACCGTGTGATATGCCAAGGTTCGGGGCTGGTACGGCTTTTATATAGCCATGGTTCGGTACTGGGGATGGGTGATAAGCCCTGGTATCGGTACTGGTACCCGGTGTTATAGCCAAGGGACGGTACGGTACGTGGGATAAGCCCAAGGGACGGTACTGGTACCGTGTGTATATGCCAAATATCGGGATGGTACGGCGTTTGTATATGCCAAGGTTTGGTACTGGTAAGTGTATATAGCCAAGGTATCGGTACTGCTACGGGTTTTATATACCAAGTATCGGTACTGGACCGGTGTATATAGCCAAGGACGGAAAAGGACCCTGGTTTTTAAGCCCAAAAGGGTTGGTATGGTTTACGTGTGTATATAGCCACGGTATCGGGGACTGGTACCGTGGTATAAGCCAAGGTTCGGTACTGGTACGGGGGGAAAGCCCCAAAGGGATTACTGGTTTTCCAAGGTTTTAAGCCAAGGTAGGTAGGTACGGCGTGTATATGCCATGGTATCGGTACTGGTACGGCGTGGGGAAATTTGCCAAGGGTTTGGTACTGGTACGGCGTTTTGGAAAAAGCAATGGTATCGGTCTGGGACGGGGTGTATAAGCCATGGACGGATGGGGCGTGAATGCCAAGGACGGTACTGGACGGCGTTTTTATAAGCCATGGTATCGGGTACTGGTACGGCGTGTATAAGCCATGGTACGGGTTTGGGACGGCTTTATAAGCCAAGGTTCGGTACTGGGACGGCGGGTATATGCCAAGGGATGGTATGGTACGGCGTTTTTATATAGCAAAGGTATGGGGACTGGTACCTTGTATAAGCCCAAGGATCGGACTGGGCCGTGTGTATATAGCCCCGGTATCGGTTTCTGGTACCGGTGTAATAGCCAAGGTATTTGGGGACTGGGAGGGTTTTTATATAGCCAAGGATGGATGGTACCCGTGTATAAGCCACGGTTTTCGGATGGTACGGCGGTATATAGCACGGTTCGGTTTTCGGTTCGGGTGTATATAGCAAAGGGGACGGATGGTTTTTGGGGTGTATATGCCAGGGACGGACGGACGGCGTTTTAATAGCCCTGGATCGGTACTGGTACGGGGGGTATATAGCCAAGGTATCGGTATGGTACGGCGTTTTTAATAGATGGGATCGGTCTGGTACGGGGTTTTTAATTTGCATGGTATCGGTACTGGTACAGGTGATATGCAAGGTATCGGTAAAATGGTACGGCGTTTATATAGCCAGGGATCGGTATGGGACGGCGGATATAGCCCTGGACGGGGCTGGTACCGGGGATATAGCCAAGGACGGTATGGTACCCTGTGTATATAGCCCAAGTATCGGTTTTCGGTATGGGTGTTTATATAGCCAAGGATCGGTACTGGAAAGAAAAAAGAAGGACTACTAGGGTTTTTTTTTCTCTCCTTTGTATAAGCCCTTTCCTTTTTTTTTCCTTGGTTTACCGTTAAATCAAATTTTTACGTAGTGTTTTGCAAAGGGATCGGTACTGGTCGGCGGGAATTTCATGGTACGGTATGGTACCGTGGATATAGCCAAGGTATGGTATGTACCCGTGTATATAGCCAAGGTATCGGTACTGGGGAAACGTGTATATAGCCAAGGATCGGTATGGTACGGGTGTATATGCAAAGGATCGGTACTGGTACGGGTGTATATAGCCAAATTTTTCGGTATGGACCGTGTGTTTAGCCAAGGTATGGTATGGGACCCGGGGGAATTTGCCAGGTACGGTAGGTAGTGGTATTAAACCAAGGTATCGGTACTGGTAAAGCGTGTTAAAAACCCGGTATCGGACGGTACGGTTGATATAGCCAAAGGTAGGGCTGGTTCTTTTTTTACCCCGTTTGGGGTTTGGGGGATTAGCCAGGACGGTATGGTACGGGTGTTAACCAGGTATCGGGACTGGACCGGTGTATAAGCCGGGATCGGTACTGGTACCGTTGTATATAGCCAAGGGGGATCGGACTGGTACGGGTGTAATAGCCAGGATCGGTTATGGTACCCCTGTATATAGCCAGGTTTTCGGTTGTACGGCGGGTTTTTTATTTAGCCAGGATGGTACTGGTTTGGGTGTATAAGCCAGGTATCGGTACTGGGGCCCGGGGTTTTTTAGCCATGGGATCGGTACTGGTACGGGGTGAATAGCCAAGGGATCGGTATGGTTTCGGGTGGGAATAGCCAAGGATCGGATGGTACCGGGGTTTTTTATAAGCAGTATCGGTACTGGTACGGGGTTGTATATAGCCAGGTATCGGATGGTACGGGTTGTAAAGCCAAAAAATCGGATGGTTTGGCGGGTTTTTATATAGCCAGGTATCGGTATGGACGGTGTATATAGCCATGGTATCGGTACTGGTACCGTTGTATATAGCCAAGGGATCGGTACGGTAGGGGGTTTGTTTTTGTATATAGCCGGGGATCGGTAAGGGTGAATTAGCCCCCTAAGGGTTTTAAAAAAAAGGGGGGGGGGGGGGTGGGGCCGGGGGGGGGGGGTGGGGGGGGGGGGCCGGGGGTTTGGGGGGGGGGGGGGGGGGGGGGAGGGGGGTTTGGGGAAAAGGGGGGGGGGAAAGCCCCGGGGGACGGGGGTGGGGCCGGGGGCGGGGGGGGCCGGGCGGGGGCCGGGGGGGGGGGGGGGGCGGGCGGGGGGGGGGGGGGGGCCGGTTTGGAGGGGGGGGGGCCGGGGGGGGGCGGGGGTAAGGGGGGAGGGGGGGGGGGTTTGGGGGGGGTTTTCCGGGGGGGTGGGGGAAGGGGGGGGGGGGGGGCCGGGGGGGGGGGGGGGGGGGGGTTTTGGGGGGGTTTTTTTGGGGGGGGGGGGGGGGGGAAAAAAAGGGGTACCGGGGGTGTTTGGGGTTGGGGGGGTTTTTTTTTTGGGTTTTTGGTTTGTTTTTGTGTGGGGGGGGGGGGCGGGGGGGGGGGGGGGTTTTGGGGGGGGGGGTTTTTTTTTTTACCTTTTTTTTATAGCCCGGTATCGGACTGGGCGTTTTTATAGCCAAGTATCGGTACTGGGACGGGTGTAATAGCCAGGTACGGTACTGGTACCCGGGGGTATATAGCCCAAGGGAGGTATGGACGGGGATATAGCCAAGGTATCGGTTTACCGTGTATAACCAAGGTAGGTACTGGTACCGGTGTATATAGCCCGGTACGGTATGGACCGGGTATATAGCCCGGTTCGGTACTGGACGGGTGATAAGCCAGGTATAGGTATTGTATATAGCCAAGTATCGGTTGGTACGGGTTTTTATATAGCCAAGGTTCTTATGACCGTTGATATGCCAGGTATCGGTACTGGACCCTTGTATATGCCAAGGGATCGGTATGGTCCCGGGTATATAGCCCGGTACGGTATGGTACCGGGGGTATAAGCCAAGGGTTTTTCTGGTTACGGGGGTGTTTTTTATAGCCAGGTTCGGTATGGACCGTGGATATAGCCCAAAAATATCGGTATGGTACGGGGTGTTTATAAAACAAGGGATCGGTATGGTAGGGGATATAGCCAAAATTTTCGGTATGTACCGTTAATTTTGGCCCGGTTCGGGGGACTGTACGGCGTGATATAGCCAAAGGATCGGTACTGGTTTTCCGGGTTTTTATATAGCCAAGGGATCGGTAATGGGAGGGGGTGTTATAGCCCGGATCGGATGGTACGGCGTTTATATAGCCAGGTATCTATGGTACCGGGTGTTATACCAGGATCGGTCTGGTTTGGGGGTATATAGCCAGGGGGTACTGGGACCGTGTGTATATAGCCCCGGGAGGGGGTGGTACCGTTTTTTTATATAGCCAAGGTATCGGTACTGGTACGGCGTGTATATAGCCATGGTATCGGTACTGGTACCGTGTGTATATAGCCAAGGTATCGGTACTGGTACCGTGTGTATATAGCCATGGTATCGGTACTGGTACGGCGTGTATATAGCCAAGGTATCGGTACTGGTACGGCGTGTATATAGCCACGGTATCGGTACTCATTGTGTATTTATTCCTTGTGTTATTATTTATTTTATGTCTCTCTACATCAGGGGTGTCAAACGTCCGGTCCGCGGGCCGGATCAGGCCCGCAAACGGGTTTAATCCGGCCCGCGAGATGATAAAAAAAAAAAAAATGTTTATACCAGGGCAGAGCAAGTAGGTCAAGCACGTGCAGCCAATGAGCTACTTTGTTTTGCCCGCGATATTTATTACGGCTTCTACTTTTAACATTATGTGCTTTGGCACCCTCATTGCCCCAATATGTCTCTGTCAAAAAAGAGAATGCAGAGTGCAGAGTGTTCGAAGAAAAATGGTCATCCTATTTATTCACGGAATTTAATGGGAAAGCTGTATGTTTGGTGTGTTCAGAGCATGTTGCAGTGCTGAAAGAATACAACCTTCGTCGCCACTATGTGAGTCTTCATGCCGACAAATATGACAACTTTCAAGGACAGCGGAGATGAGAGAAGGTGAATGAACTGTTGGCGGGTCTGAAGAAACAGCAGTCTGTGTTTACTCACAGCCGAGACATCAGTGACGCTGCAGTGAAAGCTAGCTACCTCATTGCTAATGAAATCGCAGTGGCTTCAAAACCATTTAGTGAGGGTGAATTTGTAAAAACATGCATGATGAAGGCAGCGGAGATTGTGTGCCCTGAAAAGCGGCAGGCTTTTGCAAATATCAGCCTGACAAGAAACACAGTTGCAGACAGGATTTCCGATCTTTCAGTGGATTTGGACAGCCAGTTGAAGCAAAAAGTAAAGTCATTTATTGCGTTTTCGGTTGCAATTGATGAAAGCACGGACATTACAGATGTTGCACAACTGGCCATTTTCATTCGCGGAGTTGATGACACATTGACCGTCACCGAGGAGTTCGTGGAGTTGGTGCCGATGACAGATACAACGACAGCAGCTGATATTTTTACCGCACTCGTCGGCGCGCTGGACAGGGTCGGAGTGGACTGGTCCCGCGCTGTCAGCCTGGCTACAGATGGTGCGCCCTCAATGATCGGGAAAAAAGCAGGCGTTGTGACAAAGTTCAGAGAGAAAGTGCAATCTGCAAATGGAGGACGTGATTTTTTGACTTTTCACTGTATTTTGCACCAGGAGGCTTTGTGTTGCAAGTCATTAAAGATGGATAACGTCATGAAGGTGGTCATCCAAACTGTTAATTTAATCCGATCCAGAAGCCTGAATCACCGTCAGTTTGACAGCCTTCTCAGAGAGAAAGACCACATCTATGGCCTGCCATACCACACTGAGGTAAGATGTTTAAGCCGAGGTGCTGTGCTGAGGCGTTTCTTTGAAATACGAGAAGAAATTGAACAGTTCATGGAAGAAAAGGGCAAACCAGTGTTAGAATTTCATTCCGCAGAATGGATGCAGGACCTTGCATTTATGGTGGATGTTACAGAGCACCTGAATAACTTGAACAAACAGCTGCAAGGCCGCAACAAAGTTGTCACGCAGTATTATGACAGCATACGTTCTTTCAAGTTGAAGCTGTCATTGTGGGAGACGCAACTTGCCGGTGGTGATGCAGCTCACTTCCCCTGTCTGAAAAATGTGTGCGCGACCCAACATGTGGCAGACATGAAGCGGTTCAAAGATAAAATAACGGGACTGTTACGGGAGTTTGAGCAACGCTTTCAGATTTATGTTTATATGTTTTTATGTTGATGTGCTATTGTTTTTAATTGATTTTATTTTATTTGTATATTTAACCTATTCTTGACTCTGTGGTTCTTGCACTTGTTTGGGGAACAGGATTTCATTATTTTTATCTACATTTCTGCCTGAGAAATGACACCCTGATATAGTTCTGTGATCTGTGATATACTTCTGTGAATCACTGAGGCATTGTGTGTTTGTGTGTTCTTTGTCCTCAGAACTTTCAAATAACTTGAGGTGTTTTATGATTAATAGTGATGTTGTGCTTTTGGACACTGTCCTCAGGCTCCAGCTTTATGTTTATATGTTTTTATGTTGATGTGCTATTGTTTTTAATTGTTTTTATTTTATTTGTATATTTAACCTATTCTTGACTCTGTGGTTCTTGCACTTGTTTGGGGAACAGGATTTCATTATTCTTATCTACATTTCTGCCTGAGAAATGACACCCTGATATAGTTCTGTGATCTGTGAAACAGTTCTGTTAATCACTGAGGCATTGTGTGTTTGTGTGTTCTTTGTCCTCAGAACTTTCAAATAACTTGAGGTGTTTTATGATTAATAGTGATGTTGTGCTTTTGGACACTGTCCTCAGGCTCCAGCTTTATGTTTATATGTTTTTATGTTTATGTGCTATTGTTTTTAATTTATTTCATTTTATTTGTATATTTAACCTATTCTTGACTCTGTGGTTCTTGCACTTGTTTGGGGAACAGGATTTCATTATTTTTATCTACATTTCTGCCTGAGAAATGACACCCTGATATAGTTCTGTGATCTGTGAAACAGTTCTGTTAATCACTGAGGCATTGTGTGTTTGTGTGTTCTTTTTCTTTAGAATTTTCAAATAAACTTGACGTGTTTTATGATTAATAGTGATGTTGTGCTTGTACTATTTTGGACACACTTTCCTCAGGCTCCAGCTTTATGTTGTATGTTTATCGTATTAAAACAAAGAAAACAATCTGAAGTTGTTGTTTTTAAGTTATATATACCATGATTTTTCCGGTCCGGCCCACTTGGGAATAGATTTTCCTCCATGTGGCCCCTGAGCTAAAATGAGTTTGACACCCCTGCTCTACATTGTTGGGAAAGGCCTGTTGTGTTGCTACCGTGTTGTTGTCATGTTGTGTTGCTACCGTGTTGTTGTCATGTTGTGTTGCTGCCATGCTGTGTTGTTGTCTTAGGTCTCGCTTTATGTCTCTCTTGTCTTGATGTGTGTTTTGTCCTATATTTTTATTTTTAATCCCAGCCCCCGTCCCAGCAGGAGGCCTTTTGCCTTTTAGTAGGCCGTCATATTAAATACGAAATTGTTCTTAACTGACTTGACTAGTTAAATAAATAATAATAAATAAATAAAATAGCAGCTCAACTTACCCAGCTCATCCTGTGTGAAGCTGTCGGGAGGGTTCACATACTGCATAGTTGAGACGTTCAGCTTCCAGTAGTGTTTTGTACATCGGACCGTCCTGTATCAGAAAAACCTTTCAGTCCCACTGAATAGATATGTTATATCTAAGCCTCTGTATTTTACAACTTGATGTTAGATGGTTCCTCGGCCTGAAAGTAGTCTATGGGCCAGGAGAAACTGTAATCCATGGTTGGGTATTCTCTAAACAGCCACTACAAACTTCAGCTATCTTGAGTTGTAGAATCCTGAACTTCCCCTTTAAGTCTACTTACCTTCCATCTAAGTCCTCAATGTCTTTGATGAACAGGCCTCCTTGGTGTTTGCATTGGTTCTTGCAGGCCTTCAGCTCTCCATTTTCTTTGTATATGATGTAGCACTTCCCATCATCTGGGCTCTTCTTAAAGTTGATGCCATCTTTGAGTGAGCGCACTGCCTCAGAGTCCAGGGACAGCACTGTCTTTGAAGACTGGGCTGTCATTTGAGTGGTTGAATTGAAGTGCTGATGAGAAAAGCAGGGGAGTATAAGTGGATGGTACTCGTAAGAGGAATTTCCAGGTGAACAAAAGAGAAGAGCAGTCGCAAATAAAGTCAATCAAAAATCTATCCAGTTTATTACAAGTTGCAACAGGGCGGTACTTCCAGCACAGAAGCAGAGAAAATGTCTAACTGGCCTTATATCCTTATCAGCAGACAACTGTTCTTTAAAAATCAGCCCCAGAGGCCTTTGGAAAGTCAAAACAAAATGTAAGTGACTTTGCCACTGGCTACAGAATCACAGTGTTCAGACAATACAATAATAATCAGTGTGTCCTCGGTCCTTGTATCTCCAATCTGGCGTCAATCACTTTCAACAGATATGAGTTTAATTCATAACATACAGCATCGAGTCTAGTGACCATCAACCCAAGTGTTTGTTACGAGAATTTTGTTATCTCAATTGTTGAAGTCAACTACTTCTTAAATCTTTGAATATTTCCCGAGGTTGTAAATCTCTTAGTTTAAATAAAATAAGCAAAGACCCAATTATGCAATAGTCAGCCTTTATTCATTGAGAGCGCTCTGAAAATCATACAGTGCACAATGTTTTTATACCTTTACTACGCCCCTAAATGGGCCAATGAAAAAGCTCCTAGCCCATATTTAGACAACTGTCTCATTTCTCTATAAGTTTGAAGAAGCACATTTATTTTTATAAGACCTAAATAGTCTGTTGCTGAGCAAACATGCATCCTACACAGACACCTAAGATGGGGACATGTTCTTCAGTGTCTAGTTTCACATTCTGTTTCCTGCTAGCATAGATATGAAAATAAGCCAAAGCCCTTGTTTTTCTTCTAACTAAACTTATTGTAGTTTTATGATTCTATCACATTCCTATAATTTTAGTCACATTAACAAATTCCTCTATCAGTGTTACAAACAAAACACTGGAAATCGTGTATTACAGAAAGGAGAAATATATGAATATGCGGTAACACTTTACTTGACACCCAGCGTCATAACACGTTATGACACGGTCATAACACGTTATGACACGGTCATAACCATGTCGTAATATGTCATAACAGCTGGCATAACTTGTCAGAAACTGTCATAATATGCTCATAACACTGTTACATATATTTAGACCTGTTGTGACATATATTGCATTATTTTATGGCTGGTTATGACACCTACATAAGAGTGTCAAAACCCACAAAACAAGGTAAAACATTCCATTACACCATAGCCTATTTGTCAACAGTATGTTTATGTTATATAACATTTTCTGAAATTGACCATATTAAATTATCATTATAATTGCACACACATTGATGTCATACATGAACTTACCCCAATTCTCTGTTTCTGTTGCTGATGACTGGGATAAATGCAGGAGCAGATTTCAGCAACAGGACAAGACATCCTGTTTTTGACAGATGACTGATGACAGGGCAGGTACGTGATCGGCTTATCTGGCTTACATGATTATGATGGTCATAATGCTTCTTGACAAAGTGTATTTTCTCAGTCCAACTAAAGTGACACAGGATGGTCATAAAATTAACTTTAAAGTTATTTAAAATATGATAGAAAGAGAGAGCGAGACCGAGCGAGAGACCTGAACCTACATTTTACACAATAGCACAGGTTCAAAGAACGAAATAGTATACCGGTATATTTACATGTTCATGGTTAGTTCAAATGATTAATACCTAAATTCAAACAAATGTCAGTTCCTCATACAGTACTGTGACACTTTGGGAACTAAATATTACATTGCGATTTATGGAATTATCAGGAGCAGACCTGAGTACAAATACATACAGTTGAAGTCGGAAGTTTACATACACTTAGGTTGGAGTCATTAAAACTCGTTTTTCAACCACTCCACAAATGTCTTGTTAACAAACTATAGTTTTGGCAAGTCGGTTAGGACATCTACTTTGTGCATGACACAAGTAATTTTTCTAACAATTGTTTACATACAGATTATTTCACTTATAATTCACTGTATCACAATTCCAGTGGGTCAGAAGTTTACATACATTAAGTTGACTGTGCCTTTAAACAGCTTGGAAAATTCCAGAAAATGATGTCATGGCATTAGAAGCTTCTGATAGGCTAGTTGACATCATTTGAGTCAAATGGAGGTGTACCTGTGGATGTATTTCAAGGCCTACCTTCAAACTCAGTGCCTCTTTGCTTGACATCATGGGAATATCAAAATAAATCAGCCAAGACCTCAGAATTGTTTTTGTAGAACTCCACAAGTCTGCTTCATCCTTGGGAGCAATTTCCAAACGCCTGAAGGTACCACGTTCATCTGTACAAACAATAGTACACAAGTATAAACACCATGGGACCACGCATCCGTCATACCGCTCAGGAAGGAGACGCATTCTGTCTCCTAGAGGTGAACGTACTTTTGTGCGAAAAGTGCAAATCAATCCCAGAACAACAGCAAAGGACCTTGTGAAGATGCTGGAGGAAACAGGTACAAAATTATCTATATCCACAGTAAAACAAGTCCTATATCGACATAACCTGAAAGGCCACTCAGCAAGGAAGAAGCCACTGCTCCAAAACCGCCATAAAAAAGCCAGACTACGGTTTGCAACTTCACATGGGGACAAAGATCGTACTTAATGGAGAAATGTCTTCTGGTCTGATGAAACAAAAATAGAACTGTTTGGCCATAATGACCATCGTTATGATTGGAGGTAAAAGGTGGTAGCTTGCAAGCCGTAGATCACCATCCCAACCGTGAAGCACGGGGGTGGCAGCATCATGCTGTGGGGGTGGTTTGCTGCAGGAGGGACTGGTGCACTTCACAAAATAGATGGCATCATGAGGAAGGAAAATTATGTGGATATATTGAAGCAACATCTCAAGACATCAGTCAGTAAGTTAAAGCTTGGACAATGACCCCAAGCATACTTCCAAAGTTGTGGCAAAATGGCTTAAGGAAAACAAAGTCAAGGTATTGGAGTGGCCATCACAAAGCCCTGACCTCAATCCTATAGAACATTTGTGGGCAGAACTGAAAAAGCGTGTGCGAGCAAGGAGGCCTAGAAACCTGACTCAGTTACACCAGCTCTGTCAGGAGGAATGGGCCAGAATTCACCCAACTTATTGTGGGAAGCTTGTGGAAGGCTACCCGAAACGTTTGACCCAAGTTAAACAATTTGAAGGCAATGCTACCAAATACTAATTGAGTGTATGTAAACTTCTGACCCACTGGGAATGTGATGAAAGAAATAAAAGCTGAAATAAATCATTCTCTCTACTATTATTCTGACATTTCACATTCTTAAAATAAAGTGGTGATCCTAACTGACCTAAGACAGGGAATTTTTACTAGGATTAAATGTCAGGAATTGTGAAAAACTGAGTTTAAATGTATTTGGCTAAGGTGTACAGTGGGGGAAAAAAGTATTTAGTCAGCCACCAATTGTACAAGTTCTCCCACTTAAAAAGAATCCAGAAAATCACATTGTAGGATTTTTTATGAATTTATTTGCAAATTATGGTTGAAAATAACTATTTGGTCAATAACAAAAGTTTCTCAATACTTTGTTATATACCCTTTGTTGGCAATGACACAGGTCAAACGTTTTCTGTAAGTCTTCACAAGGTTTTCACACACTGTTGCTGGTATTTTGGCCCATTCCTCCATGCAGATCTCCTCTAGAGCAGTGATGTTTTGGGGCTGTCGCTGGGCAACACGGACTTTCAACTCCCTCCAAAGATTTTCTATGGGGTTGAGATCTGGAGACTGGCTAGGCCACTCCAGGACCTTGAAATGCTTCTTACGAAGCCACTCCTTCGTTGCCCGGGCGATGTGTTTGGGATCATTGTCATGCTGAAAGACCCAGCCACGTTTCATCTTCAATGCCCTTGCTGATGGAAGGAGGTTTTCACTCAAAATCTCATGATACATGGCCCCATTCATTCTTTCCTTTACACGGATCAGTCGTCCTGGTCCCTTTGCAGAAAAACAGCCCCAAAGCATGATGTTTCCACCCCCATGCTTCACAGTAGGTATGGTGTTCTTTGGATGCAACTCAGCATTCTTTGTCCTCCAAACACGACGAGTTGAGTTTTTACCAAAAAGTTCTATTTTGGTTTCATCTGACCATATGACATTCTCCCAATCCTCTTCTGGATCATCCAAATGCACTCTAGCAAACTTCAGACGGGCCTTTGTTACTTTGGTCCCAGCTCTCTGCAGGTCATTCACTAGGTCCCCCCGCATGTGTGTGAGTGTGTGTGTGTGTGTGTATGTGTGTGACCTGATGGTCAGGAGAGCAGTTTTCCAGTGGAAAACTACAGCCCACCTAAAGAGGGGAGGGATTCTCTGACGTGTATATATACAATTTTTGTTTCAGAACGTTCTCATGAATAAAGCCTGATGATTGTATGCTGGGCTGCTTGGTCTGATTATTGGAGATTTACAACATCTGGGATACAGACTGAGTAATAAGTTCATTTTTGAAACATTGGGATAGAAATTCACGTAACACATAAGTGGTCGTGTCTTTAAACACTGTTCCACTCAGTCTATAATTTTAATGGTAGGTTTATTTGAACAGTGAGAGACAGAATAACAACAAAAAAATCCAGAAAAACGCATGTCAAAAATGGTATAAATTGGTGCGATTATTCGCAAATGGAAGAAACACAAAAGAACTGTCTATCTCCCTCTGCCTGGGGCTCCATGCAAGATCTCACCTCGTGGAGTTGCAATGATCATGAGAACGGTGAGGAATCAGCCCAGAACTACACAGGAGGATCTTGTCAATGATCTCAAGGCAGCTGGGACCATAGTCACCAAGAAAACAATTGGTAACACACTACGCCGTGAAGGACTGAAATCCTGCAGCGCCCACAAGGTCCCCCTGCTCAAGAAAGCACATATACATGCCCGTCTGAAGTTTGCCAATGAACATCTGAATGATTCAGAGGAGAACTGGGTGAAAGTGTTGTGGTCAGATG